ATAGATAGATAGATAGATAGATAGATAGATAGATAGATAGATAGATATACTCACATTGGGAGGGATGACATAATCCTCAGCACTCCACAGGTACGGGCCTGTCTCAGAGGTGTTAGTGAGAGTGACTCCTTTAAGTTTGGTGATGACTGAAGTCTGGATGGCCTCTTCTCTCTCCTGGTATCCTTTCTTTACTACAAACACCCACCTAAGACCACAAACGTCATTATTCTGTCATTATCAGAGATATGATCTGGGTTTTTCCCCCTCCAAGTTGCTTTAAAAGCTTGAGGTTTTGGGATATTTTTGATTGGCACACCGGGTTTTGTTTGCAATCTCCTGCTGGTTTCTGGTCGAATATTTCACGCATAAAGTTTGTTTTTTAAAGACGTAAGAATATTTTGCAGGGAGTTTCTCGTGCGCAGTTTGACTTGCATGGCAATAAAAGCATGTGGGGCGCGTGCCATCGAGCCAAATATGACTTCACAACTTCCTTGCAACAGCCACAATGCCACGACTAAATTCACCAGTCTATAGTTTGAGGACGTTTCACAGTGCGGGTTAAAGGTGTTTTTTCACATTTTTTCCTCATATTTTTTCACGTCACATCTTAGTCCAGTGCCGTTTAAAGAACTTACAGAAAGCATTCCACCAACAGAGCTCCATCCTGAGGAGGACTCTGTGCGTTTTCCCTCAAAAAACCCATCTGCCACTTCACCACCACCAATAAAACAGGAACCAGCCACAAGTTCACCTATTTTTAACTGCGTGAATCACTCTCTATTTGTTTATGCTATAAACGGCAAAATGTCAGGACGCCTCACCCGATAATGTATCCCAGCACGGCCAGCTGATAAAGGCGAAATAGTATTCCAATCCGCCTGTTTTCAGCGATGACATACTTCTCTGTCTTGTAGTTGAGGAGAGAAATGAAGAAGCCCCCCCAGCCTGCCATTTGCCCCCCCTGCAGCCAGAACCAGACTGTGGCAGCAGCTCCAGGCTGAAATATGCCTCCGGCTCAGTTGTCATGCCACGGGCAAACCCTCCCAGACAGGAGCTGCTTATGGAACCAGCACTTCCATTCCCAGCCTGTTTCCTCTCACATTATTTACTGAAAGGAAAAAAAATCTGATGTGCACCTCAAGTTCCATTATGCAAAATTTCTGAATCTAAAGGTGAATATATTATTTCAGCCTAAAAGCATTAATAATGTCCCTGCTATGGTAACTCCTATGTCATGATAGATTCTTCACATGAAATGATTTTATCCATGAGTTTAATGAATGTGCTCTAAGGTCCATTGGTCCTTGTGGGCGGTGAGATTTAGATAAATTGGGATAAGATAAACTCAACAAACTCAGGTTCAAGAAGCAAGAAGCACTCTAATAACCTTCCAAACCAAGGAAGATTTAACCTGATAAATTTAACCTAAGATAAAGGTTTCTGGTGAGTTCATGATTGGTACTAATGGCTACACACTGAGAGAAGACTCTGAAAGACTTTGAAACACTTAATTAACTCAAAGCTCAACTAAAAGTGCTCCAAACAAAGCTGAAAGGAAGGGGTGCTTACCTTAAGAAGAATCTATCAGAACTTTTGACCTATGTGATGGATTTAAAAAAGAAAGAATCAGAAAGAACTTGCATCTGGATTTATTTCAGAATCAGAATTACTTTATGAAGTATGTAGTCTTTTAATTGCACAAGAAACTATCTAAACTGCATTTTCAGCGTTTGTAGTGAAGGTTAGGTTTGCAAACTTCTTTTGTCACACATTTCTTTCATTTCCTGACCTGCATCACATCATGGAGCGCAGGTTTCCAGCAGGTAGCTCCCTCTAGAGTCACAGGAGGTTTACACAGCTGTGGCTTTTCCTAAACACAGCCTTCCTCTAAAGTGAGCATCCCATCATTGACAGTAAATCTAATTTTTGGCGTTTTTTTCGGTCTAACTACTTATTCTTTCCAAATATCACGAGTTTTGGAGGCTGCAGTGTACGTCAGGTAATTAAGTTCACAATGTGAACCAATAATTCTTCAATATCTCGGCTGGATGGTTTGTGTGTTACGGTTCACATAGCTAAGTGTAATGATAAGTAGATCATACTTTAAAAATAATTCTGACTCGTTTCCCTGTTGACTGAGTGTCACTAACCATCATACTATAAAGTGTGGAGTTAAAACAGATGTAGAACTGTTACTAGGTAACATAAATGTTTATGAATAACACATTCCCAAATCAGAACCCTATGCTGTGGGTTACCAGATATGGTAAGACATTTATAAGAGACTGTTATACCTGTAGGAGGACACTACATTTATAAGAGATCTATACGCTGGGGTATAGCCCAAGCCATGTGTGGCATGATTTATGTCCTCCACTGATGTTGTGACAATGTGATAGGTCTAGATGGGACAGGTTTGAATGAGGGGGCTCTGGAAACATCCAGGACCACTAAATTTTGGCTGCATCTTCTGACTAAATTAATCTTTTGTTTCGGCCTTGCCTTCCAGTCACGGGCTAGACTTTAAGACAATGAGTTTTATCAATAGCTAACAATGCAAACTTTAGTGTTTGGCCAGTTTCTTAAAGCAGGATGGGGGAGTAAACTAAAGGAGCTAGTGACATCTAGTGGCTCCATAACTCCCTTCAGATTTCCCATGAAATATGCTATTTTTAACTAAGAAAATCATAGATACATTCATTTCAGTTTTAAAGCGTGGAGCTTCAGAAAAAAAATGTTTTGCTTATTTTATCTCAAATAAAATGAGTGAACAAAGCTTTAATGGAATCAACTTTTATTGGGTGATATGGTCCAGTTGCCATCTAAATAAAAACACTGCATCATTTACTGCCCCCCCCTCAGGCGAAGGACAAGGTGGAGAGTGGACTCCTTCTGGATGTTGTAGTCGGAGAGGGTGCGGCCATCTTCCAG